ACTTACAAGCTATAGAACCTGCGGTGCTCTATGGAGTTCAGATCTGGAATGCAGCTCTAGACAGAGTTCATGTAAAAAGGAAGCTATTATCAATTCAGAGGAAATCAGCGATTAAGATTTGTAGAGCATAGTGAACATCACCAACGGATCCCCTATTAGTCATTTCAAACCTTATGCCTATACATCTAAAAGGAAAACAGATAACATGGGAGTGGATGCTTTATAATAAGAATTTCGCTGATATATCGGAGTCTGATATAGAACAACTACAGAAAAAGGGCAACCTGCCACCAAACAATACAAAGGACATCTCTTGTTTCATTGAAAGGATAGACCATAAATTAAAAAACAAGGATTTACCGACTGACCCCAGGATGAGGTGTCCATACAAAGTCCTATTGGAATATGTGTCATCCGCGTGTATATTGTTGGTCTCTGCTGTAAAAAAAAAAAATTGTTTTCTTTTACCTATAATTATCTTTGTGTATATATACATATTTTGTCAATGTAATTAATGTAAACGATTGTCGCGATTGCTGTACGCGCGGTTTTATTTGTGTTTTGAACGGTTTTTGTGTGGCAGCACGATGAGAGTGGTGGAGGAGTTATATATAGTGGGGAACCGGAAACCGGGCATTCAGATTCCTGGCGTTCATGTGTGAAGGTGTGTCCTTTGATTGGTCTTCGGTGGACTCTTTGTGTAAGCTGCCACGTGCCAGGCCTAAGCTGACCTCTTGTGTTGTGATCCGATATAATCATATTTTTGGTACATAAAATTTGTTTGATCCTATATCGTACTCGCCCCATCCATTCGTGGCAATCATTTTCATTCACCCCTGCAAATATCATCCCTCAGATATTCGCAGATCCCACAAATACGATAATATCACAAATCAAGAAAACGAGCAGCTAATAACAATATACATGGACGGATCAAAGGACGACCAGGGAGTAGGATTTGGACTCATAATCAAAAAAGGAAAAAACACAATGTATCAGGCAGCTTTCAGGCTGGCAAATGAATGCACTATAACCCAAGCCAAGTTATGGGCGATCTATAAAGCCATCTCATACATAAAACAATTAAATCTGACAACGCCAAAAAAGATAACCATTTTCACAGACAGCAAGGTTGCCTTATATATTCTCAAAACAATGAAAAACAGCACGGCACTCCCAGTGGATCTAATTGCTCTTGCCCATGACCTAGGACAGCAATTTGAAATCTTGTTCCAATGGATACCAAGTCACAGTGGTTATATAGGCAACGAACTTGCTGACAAATTGGCGAAAAAAGCAAGGACGAACTCAAACATTACATACACTCATTTCCCAGTTAATTATGTGCACCACTATATAAGACAAGAAATCAGGATTCTATGGCAAGGGGAATGGGACAAGTCAAACACCGGAAGACAATGCTACAAATTTATTCCTTCAATCGAAAGACGACACAAAAACAAAAGTTTCTACCCAAGCTATGAACTTCCACAATGTCTCACTGGACACGGGGCATTCAATGCCTACTTAGAACACTTCAGGAAGAAGAACTTCAATAAGTGCGACGTCGACATAAATTCTTAAGACACCGTAGAACATCTGATCAACGACTGTACCAAATACAGAGACCAAAGACTAAAACTGATGGGGACTTGTCTCAAGGAAGGTTTCAATTGGCCTCTCGGTGAGCACAATTTCATTGACAACAAAAATTTGATGAAAGTTATCAAATTTATCAAGGAGTAAGGCTCTCGATCCACCGAGCTGCTCTCCCAATGATGGAGTATAAACATTGTTAATGCCTTGTATATATGTACATACGTTCAAATGTAATTGTTTTCTGATCTTAATAAATGCGAGGTGGCGCCCATGGGATCCCGTGGAGGGGCTCTGGGCTATTTCTTATCCACACTGTCCTATCTATCTTTATTTCCTCTTCCTCCTAATCATCAACTTTCCTAAACTCTTCTTTCATATTCTTACAGGGCAAAGTCCTAGCTAAAAGGATAGCCCTTCTTAACTGTAAAACAAGAACAAGTCAATGTCTTCAATGAGTTCATAAGCTTATGAACTCATTGAAGGCATACTTAACACATTAACCGCTATCTGACGCTCCAGTGCTGGTACTAATTAGGGCTGTACAGAGCCATCTGACTGCCTGACGTCGCTATAACCAATGTAGTTTTCACTCAAGGTTAAATTATCCTGGCTTTGTAAGACGTTGTTTTACATCCTAGTGGCGACCTCTCATGCACATCTATAAAGTTGGCTGACTGCCAGCGGTCGTATGGCTCTGAACAGCCATATAACCATATTAAACACATTCAAACTGGCTAGTAATTAGTTTGCTGCTGGACTGAAGCTATATAGTGGTGTTCAAAGATTTCCCAGTGGAATTTTTTTCAGCAATTTCTTTGTGCTGTGGATGGAATGTGGCCATGTATTATCATGAAGCAAATCAATAGCTCAATAATTTTTTCAGATTATTACAATAACTTTTGGTGTATATTGTTGTTTATTACTTATAAAGGAGGTTAGACAACCCAGAAATTCAAAAAATTCTGAAACATTATATGCAAGTTGATTAATTCATCTGTAACACAAAACTGTAAAAAAACAGTTTTGTGTTTTTAAAAACTGTTTTTTGAAAAACACAAAACACCCCAAACCATATTATGGTTTGAGGTGGTAAAATCACCTCATTAAAAAAATGTTGATCTCTTGTTTTTACAGAATAACTGTTGAATGGTGAGAGATACCAAGAAAAAGTTAAAAAAAAAATTCAACTTTTGTTTAATGTCTAAAAAGGTATTTTTTGGAGCAGAGTGTATTTATAAGTACAACATACAAATTCTCAGATAAAGAGCAAATATGTGATTATTATTGGATGAAACTTGTATACATTAAGTACAGTGTGCAATTATTGAAACAATACATTGGCTTCATTCAAAATACATAAATTAGCCTAATGATAAAAACAAATGTTTCGTTCTGTGCTTTGATACTTTAACCATAGACATGATGAAGAAATTCCAAAATAGCTTGCATGATTGAATTGGTTGGTGAACAACTGGAACAAGTGAATGAGTTTGTATATCTGGGAAGTATGACAGGAATGAAAAGATACTGTGAAATCATTAGAAGAGTGAATGTTGGAGCACAGATGGTGGGTGCAATAAGTAGATTTGCAAGGGATAAAAGGACGTCCAAAGAGGCATGAACAGCTATGTATGAGAGTGTTGTTCCTGTGCTCATATATGTGTGAGGTTCCAAAAACAGGTTGAAATTAAACATTTATTATAGAAATTTATTAAAACAAAAACTAGGAAAAACCTCCATTGTTAAAAACCAATCAAAGATTGGATCAGTTGTGCTAGTCATATGAAACCAAAATGAGAAAAAAAAATACTATTAATGTAAAACATGATGCAATAAATGTAAACAAACATCCTCCAGTAGAGATGGATCTTTGGCAAGGAGCTTGTATACAAACAATTAGAACATAGAAAAGTTTGAAAAAGGAGAAAGGTTAATTATAAAAGTGGACATCATGCCAGGTCATGAAAAATTCTAAGATGTCATAAACTAGACGAGGAAAATATGAGCGCAATTTCAAAGTCTCAACAACACGCTCGGTTCAGAGTTATCAGATTGTGTTGGGTAGATTCTTCAAAGCTGACCCTTCTCATGGCCCAAACAGGGCCATGAGAAGGGTCTTGTCTTTCACTTAGGGACAGACGAGAGACTAATCAGGGAGCAGGAAAAAGGAGACGTAGAACCAATCAGAATGGACAAATGGGGAGCATGAAGATTGGTATAAGCCCATCTTCAAGGACACGGGGGACTCTGAAAAGGTTCTGACACAAATAGACGGTGTGTGTCAACACCCTTGAGATGAAGTTTTCCATCTTTGTGCAGATACTGAAGCTGTGCTGTTGCTGACACAGATCAACAGAATCTCCCCACCTGTCTCACAAACTGTTTAACAACACTGTCCCGGGGCCATCTGCAACGATGAATAACAAAAAGAACATTAATGCGTGAGACTTCAGAACAACTGATTGTGTTCAGAAATATTTGTTTTGTAATGTAAGTTTGTTTTATGCTAAAATAAATGGATTTTTTGTAAAATACTTCTTATCTTGTCTCCTCTGCCACATCCACATGTGAACATCGCTAGAACATCCTTTAGGGATTAAATATCCCTAAAAGTCAGCTAACTTACATAAGGTATGAAACTTTGGTATGGCAGAAGTGTCACAGAAGTCACATTACTGCATGTGAGATGAGGTATTTGAGAGGAGTGTATGGCATAACAAGGAGAGACTATGTGAAAAATGAACAAGTGATGGAAGAGTGTGGGGTGAGAGAGAATATAGCTGAAAAAATGAGGAAATCAGACCTATGATGGTTTAACTATGTTGAGAGAATGAAAGAACTGTTGAAGAGAGTATACATGGAAAAGATGGATGGGAAACACAGTAGGGGAAGACTAAGTAACTTTTGGTTGGAACAAGTGAATGAGTATCTGAAAAAAAAAGAGAGAAAATATACAACTGTTTATACAACTGTACTCTTCTTTTGCCTGCTGCTTACCCATTTTAGATTATTAGCATAAGGATATGTATGTAAGTAAATTTCTTACATAATTTTTGAATTTCACATACATCTGGAACTCAATGTGACTCCAAAACTTGTATGAGCTGAAGCTGAATGGTTTGATAGTCCAAAAACATTTAAAAATTAAAATTTTCTTATTTTATTATTTTAAAAAATTTTATTTTTCAAATGTTTTCAAGTATTCTCCATCATTACAGGATTTACAGAGAGTTAAAACAGTGTAAGATTATAGAAAATTCTTCTAAATACATTCGTATCATGATAATCTTATATAAACAATTTTGATTCAAAGCAATTCATAGATAAATATTTTGTATAGATAAAATAATAATCTGCAAATAAGATAGCACTATAAGAAAAATAACTATAATTATATAACAAATATAGAAATACTTTTACTGACCACTAGGAGAAACAATGACAGGTTGAGTTTGTCGTGCTTCTATGCCAGGTGGAATGGTAAGTATAATTGCTAATATAGAACCTAAACTTGTTCCAATCCATAAACTGGCACTTGATACTAGATCTAAATGTAAAAAATGAAAATAATATTTATTATAAATAATTATTCATATTAAATCAGATGTATGTCAAATATGTAAATATTATATTATTTTAAAATTTTAATATCAACATAAATAATATTCTGGTAATATCCTTTCATATTGAAGAATTGCTTAAATTTGATCAGAAAGTTTTTGCTAAAACATGAGAAAAGTTACAACTAAACTTTGTGAATATATGAATTAAAAAATAAAAAATAAATACATTGTATATATGTAAAAGTTTGTCCGATTGAGAATTTTTTCTAATAAAATTGAAGACAAAACTGTCCAAAAAGAATCACCATTTATTATTTTTTGTGTTCCAAGACTAACACATTCTCGGCGACTGACCTTTCTTTTTAGGCTGCTTGTCGCCGGAAAAATTACAGAGAGTCCTTTTAAAAAAAACAAAATACATCCAATTAAAATTTTTAAAAATTTCTGAAAAAGGAACTGGTGACATACAGTTGTCTTGCTTACTTCCATCTATACCTTCTTTTGGGGTTTCCTCTGCTTTTTTCTACTAAAAATTGGTGCTGGAATATGTAGATTTTTAGAAAAGCTGCCCCCTGGTGACGATACATGTAGAAATTTCTTCTGTAAAAGTTCATCCGATGGAGAATTTTTTCTAATAAAAATTTTCTTCTTTTTCAGAAATTTTAAAAAATTTTAATTGGATGTGTTTTGTGTTTTTTAAAAGGACTTTTTGTAATTTTTCCAGCGACAAGCAGCCTAAAAAGAAAGGTCAGTCGCTGAAAATGTGTTAGTCTTGGAACACAAAAAATAATAAATGGTGATCCTTTTTGGACAGTTTTGTCTTCAATTTTATTAGAAAAAATTCTCCACTGGATGAACTTTTACAGAAGAAATTTCTACATGTATCGTCACCAGGGGGCAGCTTTTCTAAAAATCTACATATTCCAGCGCCAATTTTTAGTTATCTTCTACTTAGGGGGTGTCCAGAATAACCATATAAGAGAGACTAGCAGAGAAATTAAAATCTAGATATAAGAAAAAACTGAGTTGGGTCTTCAAGTTCCAAAAACCAAGAAATGAAGATGGTGGACAAGCCATGATAATCTGCTGGGATGGAATTAACCCTCTGGAATATATTGTTTAATCGATCGTTCCACACCGTAAAGTGGTTCAGTGTTTGTGTTTACTATGTTTCTTTTTCATTAGATGTCATCAATGCTTTAAGCAATGTCCTTAATAAACACAAATGACATTTTAACAATATTTGATTATTATCAATCTACTACTTTTATAAAAATCATGATTGTCTTAGTCCTAACTAGGAATCTGATTTTTCAGCAAACTGAAATAGACATAAGCCAACATAATTTGTTTTCCAGATGAGAGAAAAAAATAATTAAGATCTAAAGGCAATAAAATGTTAAAACAGTTTCTAGTGCTAAGAGCACTTATTAGTAATAAAAGGAACAATTATTAATTGCAATATAACTTATTTGTTGTGTGGATTTATTTGGAATTATTAAAAACATATCAACTTTAATTTGTCTCTGAAAGAAAACAAATTCCTACTAATGGGCATAAAAGTCAGTCATCCTGAATGATAAATCCAATATAAAAATTAAATTGTAATGTATTTTATTTAATTAATTAAATATTCTGGAAAACAATATTAAAAATTTTCATTGAAAATATTTCTTACTAAAAATTTTAATAAATTTTTAATTTACTAAATTAGTTTAATATAAATAACTATAAACAAAAACAAACAATGTTTAAATTTAGAGCATGATAGTCCAATTGGAAGCCCACGAGCCACATCTGGCCTGACCTTGGTAGATAATTGGCCTATATCATTATTATTTGGCAATTGAGGCATTTTAATTAACATACTCCTATGCATGACTTTCCACAGTCAACTCTTGCATGCTCAAAAGCATTACAGTATATCTAAATTTAAGAAATTTTGCTTTGAACATTTGTTAGTAGTACAAAACTTGATTATATGTAAATATATTTGATAATGAAAACCTATTAGCATTACTTTTTAATATTATCAGAAGATTTATTAAATTCAGATACTGTATTATGTCACATTATGTCTTATTACTATAAAATAGAAATTGATATTGCATCTTTAACAAACCCCACACAGTTCAGTACCTCACTAAAATATTGCACAGGTATACTTTTTACTGTTTAATTAATTAAGAATACAAATGCCTTATTTTCCACATATTCATAAAATGCTGTAATTATTTTTCTGCCTGTGACTTAATCTCAAAGATACAATTTGGCTTTTAAATTGAAAAAAATGTTGAACTCTGATTTAGAGAATTCATGATTTGTATTAATCTTAATCTTATTATAAAGTTACCTCCTTTCCTGCAAAATGATTCTGTAAAAATAAGTACTTGAATCGCCTCAGAACTGATATTTTCTAAACTAGATATACTGGAGCTCCGAGAACGAGACAGAGAATTATCAATCTTTTCTGTAAGAAAAAAAAAAGCACAGTTTTAATTTTTTTTTAATTTTAAAATATAAATAAATGTTTATAAGCTTAATAAATCACCGTTTCCACTTTTTAGTATCAAAATTTACCTTAAAATATAGAATAATTATATCTATAACTCTAGAAATAATTCATGAAATTTAAATATATTAATGACATACAAAAAACAGTACAATATATAATGTACTGTATATAGTGCAGTCATAATAAATATATATACTTCTGGCAATTAAAATTGCAATACTAAAAAGGATGCATATGATTGTCTCAAAATTTGCACGATGTATACATATATCATGGTAGAAGATATAAATGATTAGCAGCACAACACAAATGCAAATCATGTGAGCCAGTAACACTTCTTGAAGTAATATAAGAGTATAAGAGATAATAGTATAAGAGGTAATAGAGAACTGGTATTAAGTACTGAAATTATGTTTTCTTGCTGTTCTTGCATACAGGTGTTTAAGTATGCCTTGTCAAAAAATATGGCAGCCAGATCAAAAGGCTTCCAATTTTGATAGTGGGAGAACTGTGGCATATTGCGACTGTAGATTATCCTGCCACAAAACTGGTGTTTGTATTGGAAGAAATGTGGCAACAGTGATGTGAATATGGAATTGCCAGTTAAGGAGAGATGTCTTATCCAGTCAGCTATTGCTGATATACAGCCACATCACAAACCTCAGCTGAAAAATTAGGAAGTGTTGCACAAAAACCAGCTCAACATAGATGGTTTGATACTGTCTGCAGCATTAGCATCCATAGAACATTAAGCATGGCAAAACAATCATCATCATCTTTTCAGATAAATCCCACTTCTTTCTAAAGCATCATGATGGATGCATCCATGTGTGGTGACACTGTAGCAAAAGACTGAGTCAGGCTTGCATTATCCATCACCATACCAGTCCAGCACTTGATATGGGCTATCATTGCATTCCAGTCATGCTTGTGCCTAGCACCCATTTCCAGTACATTAAACACACATCATTACACCTCTGAGGTGTTGGAGCCTTTTGATGTCCTTTATCTTAAAGGCATGTCTGGAGCCAACCAACAGGACAATGCATGATTACACATGGCATGCATTGTCAAACAATTCTTTAATTGCAATTCCCACTAGGCTTCATTTCATCGTTGGCCTGCATGGTCACTGGATTTTCACCTATTGAACATGTATGGTACATGATCTTGCAATGACTGGCACATCATAGATGGCCTGTAACCACAGCAGTTGAATTATGGCAACATGTCAAAACCCCATGCACACATTCAATGTTTATTCCTCTCCAAGCCAAGTTCTATAGCAGTAATTATTATTGCTCATAATAATTGCATAAGATACTGACTTCTGTACTTTCACTGCTTGAACTGAGTTGAAATTGTAATAATTTCCCCATTCCATAAATTATCTATATAATACATACAGCTTTGATAGTTCTTGTCCTTTTTTACTGTTGCAATTTTAATGGCTAACAGTTTATATATTCTTATATTTCACATAAAAATTAAAATAACATACTATATTTTCAAACAGTAAAAAAATTCTACAAAACTCTAAAAAAGTTAGGTAAAGAAACATAAGTTATTTAAATTTTTAACAGTAAAAACTACCAATATCTAATATTCTAATTAAATTTTGCTAAGATAAACGACTTCCAACAACTTAACACTGCGTTGAATAATAACAATCCAAGAAAAACCTTTTTTTACGAGTGTTATGTCACTAGTAAATTCCACAAGTACTTTCGACCTCCACCGAGGACTGCTTCAGGTGGTGACTGGCCGTGTTTCGACCCGACCGTCGTAACGATGTTGCCAATGATGTAAATAAATAAATGTGCGCGTCGGGTTTTACCCCTCTGACCAACACTGTTCAAATTCCTCGAACAAATACTTCCACGCCTGTGCAAGTGTTTCCCCATCCTTGTAGTTGATGCAGTTGCCCCCCTGATAGCTTTATGAATCTCCCAGGTGGAGGTCAAAAGTACTTGTGGAATTTACTAGTGACATAACACTCGTAAAAAAAGGTTTTTCGTGGATTGTTATAAATTTTGCTAGTAATTTAGTACAATAAGTTAAGAAATCTGCATTACCAAGTCCAAGGTTATAGGTTCAGCATCTCATGAGTATTAATTATGTTAGCATGCTATATGATTGAGAGATAAGTAACTGACTCTTAATTTGTCATTGGATACTATTCACATTAAAATTATTTTCTATTTAATTGTCCCTGAGTTTATTTTAACATTTATTGTTATTGTATACTTTATTATTATTTGATAAATAAAGCAAAGCAGTATAATAAAAAAACAATTGTCATTTGATATGTATTTGTACCTTCTGCTTGTAAAGTTTAGAACCTTTTCAGTATTCCATTTCTAATGTAACTTATTTTATAGTTACATCCTACAATAAAGTGAAATATGGAAACAATTTAATGTTTGAGATAGAACCTTCTAAACTGCATATTAACAGATATTGTGTTTTCAATGGCTACTACAGAGGGGGCAGAGTGGGGTGGATTATACAAAGATTTTATTTCCATTCTTAGTTTTCTGTAGGATATATGCTATTGTAGTTCCATATTTTTGTGCATGTAACTCATAATGAACTGTTACATAAAATATTTTAGTATATGCATTTTTTATTAAAGTATTTTATATATATATATATATAATACTTATTAATGACTCATATGAATATGAGCCATTAATTTTGAAAGTGGGCAAGTCCATTTTGTGAAAAAAATAGTTAATTTGTAATAAAGATTAGTGGTAACATAAAAATTTATGTTTTTAATCAATTCACAATAAATATCTTATAATATCAATATAAATTTGTTACTAGTAATTTATACCGTCAACAACATTTATTGTGTGTTGATTTTGAAAGTGAGGCAAATCCACTCTAAAGAAAAATATATAAAGATATAATGGATTTATTATCCTATGTACTACCCATTCATCATGAATACCTTAAAAATTTGCACCATCTAAATTAAGAAATATCATTATATGTATGCAACTTATTACTGAATATTTTTTCTTATTTTATTTACTTTTCCCTATAAAATTAAATTTATTATTTGTTTTATTGTAGCTTTTTTAAAAATGTATGAAATGTTGAAATAAAATAAATAAGTAAATAAATAAAATATTCAATTTGTTATTATACTTATATTCCATTAAAAAAAAATCAACATTTTCAACAAATCATTGCTTTTGAAAGTGAGGCAAGCCCATTGGCACCATACCAAAACTATGATTTTTTTAACCTAACATGGATAACCATTATTGCATACTAAATTTACATGAAATAAGACCAAAAATATAAAATACCATAAGTCTATTTATGTACTGTTTATGAATATTTTTAAACCCATCCAAATGCAAACCATTAAATATCTAGCAATAACATAAAATGGATTTGCCCCACTTTCAAAATCAATTGCTTATATATTATACTTTAATAATATATATAAAATACCACAAAAATTCTACAAAATGGTCATTCCACAAAAATACAGTATATATATCTACTTTACTCAAATTAAAGAAAAAAAAATTAAGGCAAGTTTTGAAAATGTAAATGCAGTCGATACTGTGAGATGCCACGGGCATAGATATTTGACCTATGTCACTTACTGACACACAATCGTTACATTGGCTCACTAAAACTTTTTATACAAGGGCTTTTATTAATAAAAAGGATATAGACTATAGAGTCTCTATCCAATGTCAGGATGATGACACCAGTTAATGAAGTTTATAAATCGCGGATTAACACGCGTAATGGAAAGTTATGGAGATGATAAAATATTTTGATTCAGGCATTTTAAGAGACATTTCTTTAACATAAAAACGAATATTTAATAAACAAAAGAAAAACTATACAAATTGGACTTTCAAATATATCTATTTATACTATCGAGAGAGAGATCAGAATTCCAGTTACAATCATACTAGCTCAAAGTATACTCTTTTCTTCTGTATGAAAGTAGATGCTAATGTCCTTATCTTTGGTTAATTCTTTTAGTTTCGTTCTTGACCCTTTTTAATTCTCTGTCGGCACTTCATTAATTAATTACTTCAAAAACCCTTAAGCCCTTATCCTGAGTTAATTCGGGCAGTTTACATAGCATTACAGAAATCTCAGGTGTTTCGACCCCTTTGAAAATTTTTTTCTTTTTCGGATGTTTTTAAGTCTCCAAATTTTTTCAAAAATTTTTTCCAGCGCGAAAAAATTTTATCACAATTTTAATGTATCTTTAATGACGCATGATTAACACTTAATTGTTTTTTTACGGGGATTTTTTTTATCAAATTTTATTCATCGTTCTAAAGTTCTAGTGCATGGATTTTACTTCGGTAAAGTTATTTATAGCTACTTTCTGATGTCAAAAACAACCTCCAATAGTTTTTTAATTTTTTAAATTAATAGATTTTATTATGTATACGTTTAATTAAGTCGGGGGGTCAGAAATCGCAATAAAAAAACGTAATTTTTTAAAAATATACAGCCAGCTAGTATTTCTCCTCCTGAGACGTCTATGAGAATGTCCCGGAAAATACCAACACCAGCTGTTCTCAAGATCATCCAGCTGTAAACACAATGACTCATTGGTGTCAAATTTCGCAGAAAGGCGAGACAATGGAAAATAAAGTTTGAAGCTTTCTCTTCAAAATTAACGCATTTCTTTCATTTTTTTCAGTTTTAAGTATTTTTTATGTTTAATTACATTAAAATTAAAAACTGCTGTGTAGCAAAGGAGTTAAATAAACTAAGATAAAGAAAATGATTATTTTATTTTCTTTAGCAGTATATAATTTCGGGAGTTAATATTGGTGTTGGCCGTTCGGAGCTTATATGGAATACGTCTGTCCTCCTTGGGATCTTCTGGCGTACTCCCTGAATGATACTAAAGAATCCCTCCCTTTTGATGATTTTCTCCAATGAGAAAATTGAATTATTCC